TACTTCTCCCCCAAAAGAACTGGACTTACGTTGTCACAGAGACCATGTTGTTATTGGTATCAATAACCGAGATTTGACTGGTACCCTTGGTCGTCAGTACACCTTGGGCATAGGAGAAGTAATAGTCTGGTGGATGTGTCATGTCATCAGTGATGTTAGCAAAGAGAAGGTTGGCATTGTGTTGGCTGCAAAGGAGAGGAAAATGGAAGTCACAGACTCAATCACAGACTTGCTTGCAGGTTAAACACGGCCAATTCAAAATAGACAGCGACTGTGTCTACATGTAGGTTCCAGTCACAGATACATAGTCACAAACCAAAGGCATAAACACTTGATTACAGACCCAGTCACTGACACAAAGTCACAGTCACGCACACTGGGTCCCACATTCACAAACTAACAAGTTTTGGACATCTAGGTGCAAGACCAAATAAACAGATCTGGCAACAGAAAAGGGCACAGTACCAGATATGTGCATTCACAGACATTCACAGACAGTGCTATAGATCCAATGACAGACCTTCCCTCACTAAGAGTCAATCACACACACAATCACAAACATCTGCTCCGGTGCCTACCTTATCATTGTCTGACTGTAGTTGGCTACTGCAGACTCCCCAAGGCCTATTTCTTCAGCTTTGACAAATTTCATGGCCTGTCCAAAACAAACAAATATTCCCAAAAATCAAATGCCTACGCAAATTGAAAGACTGTTGCAAGACTGTCTGGTCTTATCGACCAGCCTAAACTACTGACATTGGGTTTTCCTATACGATAAAAATGCTTCATATTAAAATTGATACGTGCACAAACCTCAATGAAATGATGGTAGTAAAGGCTGGTGTCTCTGTCAGCAGGTGTAACATTGAAAAGCTGCATGATGTTCATCATAGTCAAGAACATGGGACCTCCGCTGGGCTGTGGCAAGGTCACTAGGTTGTAATCTGTACCCAGAGAAAGAAACAAAAAAGTGCTTAAAAAGGGAATTTATGTCTTCGGGGGGGGGGGAATTGATCTCCATGCACCTCATTCAAAGTGAAGCGTTGTCAAAACCAAAGGGTGTCCTGTAAATTCACACTGCCCACATTTCTGACTCAATGCATGTTTTATACTCACAGAAACACATGGAGCAACCTTCATTGGCACACAGGAATGAAATGGAGTCGGTCTGTTTGGCATGCCGAGATTTTGAAAGAAAACGGAAGTTATCTGTTGAAAACCTCAGTGTCCAAGTTTTGTTCCTGTTTGGGCATTGGTAAAACTTGGGTAAGGCATTTACCTCTGTAGCTGGAACGGATAGGCGCCATGGCAACGGTCTTGTAACCTTTCAGGTCAGCCAGGGTCATGTTGCCACCATTTTTATTCACCTGGGACACAGAAATGCACGTATTAGTGGTATAACATATTCATATATTGCATTTCAGCACAGACAGACTCTCATGGCAATTTACAACATTTTATCCCAGATCACATGGAGCGGGAAATATTCCTTGAACCATTAACTCCCTTTGATATGTGATTCAATTATCCACAATGACTTTTTGCTCTCATCTCACAGGTGCACACTTATACTCTAGGGCAGAGAGAGCCCAGTAAGGGAAAAGTAATCTGCCAAAAGTCACATCGTATGCCCAAGTGCAGGATTTGAACCTTTGACCCTATGATTGTGAGTTACAAATCCCAACCACTTGGTCAGCAGTGCAACGCCTTGTCGTGCAGATATAAAGGAATATCAAGGAATCTACAGGAGTTCCATTATGTACAACCAAAAGCCCCTTCATTCTCTGTAGAAACTAGCTTGATATAGTTGACGGACTTAAAGCACTCTGGTATTTTGAAGGGCCCAGGTCCAAATGCCATTATAGTTAATTTCATTCTTTAAATCGACGAACACCTGGTTCCAAGTGCCTGTTTTAATCTTGGCTGGTTCTACTGGTGCCTCATCTTTTCATTTAATAAATTGAATAAAAACAAAAAGATATGGCATTTCATTTGTAACTTACCGTGTTAACAATTTCCTGAGCCACATCACCGCTGTAAAATTCTTGGATGCCATCATCAGCTATTCTCTCCAGCAGATCAGCGTAACTCTCCCGGTAAACCATGTCCCCCTCCTTGACTCTCATTCCAGTCGGAGCATATAGGGCTCTGAGGTTTCCCGACATTGAAGCCAGAGGAATTGTTCCAAGTTCTCTCTCTTTGTGCGTTTGAAAAAGAAGAAAACATACGGTTGATTCACAATACAGTGCGCCACCAAAAGGATGACACGGATGAGTCATTTTTCAAGTTTACAGTCAACAAATACGGCTGAATTCGTGTGATTTGCCTTTGAGCGAGTACCAGTGGGACATTTTGAGGAACTGTTTGCTATATTGGGGCATTTTCTGAACACTGCACAAAAAGCCACCATCCTGATTAATTAACACTGATACTCAAAACATTTGGAACAATTCACATATCCCCTGCAGACAGCAGGAGAATAACATTTGTCAACCATTTCCCCACAAAGCATAGTAAAACATGGCCATTCAAAAGACAACCTCTTGATGGCGCATGGCATAATCACCAGTATTGAGCCTCCGTGACCTTTTAAATCACAGGCACACACAAAAAAAGACACGATTTTTTTCTGTCTGCAATTCAATTATTGGTTCAAAACCGGGCTCCAAAAGTGCCTGTGCTTAGTCCACAGGTACACAGAATTCGTAACAAAACTGAGCTGAAAATAAATGTCCCACACCACCTTGGTTTGTAACAATACCAAAACACCTAACAGAACAGACATACAAGTAACTGCATTCCTTGATAACTAGTAGACACGTGTGTGTGTGTCAGCTAAACCTATGTACTCAAAAGCTCACAGAAATTAATATGCAGATTCAGTGTACAATCATGAAATAAAGTCAGGCTAAGACGGTAAACAAAACGGAACAATCATTCAAACACAGTGGAACATGTTCTTAAAATAAAGCTTCTTTCTTTTTGTGGGGAAACTGCCTTCCTAGGTCCTTCATCAGAACAATGGTAGTCCAGTGATATTGTCCAGTAATTCAGGAAGAACCAAATTCTCTGGAAAGAAGCATTATAATTGAGATAAGGGACAAAGTATTTGAGGGTTTCTTGATTATGTTCAAGGATTACCGAGGCTTGCAGTGACCTCAAAACCACGGCGAGCAAAGCGAATCGCTGGCTGAAAAAGTTCCTTCCATGTCAACCTACAGTAAAAGATGCATGGACGAAAAGAAGAAATCCCCACAGCATTGCTTAACCATACAAAAGTTGTTCTTACAATGGCAAAATATCATCCCACTACACAAACAGCACTGTATGGTGGAACCAAAACAGTCGCATTTGTGCCTATAAGATGATGACATGCGACCAAATGTTCCATTCTCATCGCCAATGGCAACCATAATTTGTGCCCGTTAGTCACCCACCTTGTCAGTCATATTTTACAGACGATCGCTGTCAAGCCTTGTTTTCTTCTCCAAGCACAGAACAATGTGTCTCTATGATCACGCATTTTTTCCTCCGTCTTACTATGTACACGTATACAGTATGAGCCTACATTAAATTGAAACGTAGCTTGCATGTAGGTACATACACGCACGTGCAGATACTAGGTACCCGAGTGGACTGGTTTGTGGTTGCACGCTGTAAAGAGCGTGTATGGGAGCTGAGACGTTTAGGGAATTCATTACATGCACCAGCAGTCTATGCACTCCAGGATTCCAGTGCAATAAACTTGTTTCAGTCCCAAATGTAAGTTTGAAACCAAAAGGTTTCAAGCTTCCCTCCGTCCGGTCCGGTTCCGAATACAAAATACCCAAAAGTAAAACAAACATGCCTCGTCTTTTCTTTTAGCTGTTTGTTCGTCGTATAATTGGTTGCCATTTTTGATCTATTCTACAAGCACCAAATCCAAACACTGTCTGTCCTGCTGATAACTGACAGAATAATGTTTCACATTTTGTACATGCAACTGGCGTATTCTGAAAATGTGTGTACAGTATGTACAAAAGTCGACATGGTACCTAACATGTTTTTTCTAGGAGTCAGGGGCTCCTCATTTTGATTTTCTCCGCACAGCACTGTACACAAAGCACTATTTCATTGTGTGCATGTGCAAACATTTGCAAGCACATAAAGGCTGCATCCGAATTTCTTGTCTAGAGCTAGGTCTAGGTCTTCGCTCCCTTGGAAATGCGTGGAGATGCGCAGACAATAGACCTAGCCATAGCTCCGGAAGCCTGTTTCGGACACAACCAAAGAATAGAGATTTATATTACCACTGCACTTATTTAAGCAACTTTTTCCTCTGAGATCAGCAGTGTGTTTGCTGTGCTTACTGCTTAATAGCCGATGAAAAATACATGGACCTTTCTTAAGAAAGCTGGCTGGCTTATTTTTTCCAACAATCTTGCAAAAGTGTTCCACTGCCTTGTCACAGATTTTGAAAGACCTAATGAGGGAGGTTAGGAATTTTTGTATTTGCTCACTTGATACAATTATTCAACTCTAGATGAAACAATACCAGGGGAAAATACAACTTGGGATAAACACATAAACTTGCTCCACTTTGACCCTGCATGCTAGAGACATCCAGCAACTCTCAATAAACCATCTCATTTCTAGGCAAACAGTTCTACTTACTTGCCATATTTTTCCCAGGCTTGCCTCAAACCATGCAGCTCCCCTGGAATCCCAACGGCTAAGCCACTCTGAGACCAAACAAAACAAATCGAACAAACAGTGACCTGATTTCCTATCTGCTCCATGCCATGTTATACCAGGCAAGATGTGGGACGGAGGGGTACCCCCCTTACCTGTCCAATCCCTATATACACTCTAGACTATTGTTATCTAACACATCCCCCCTAGAAGTCTGTAAAGAATTCCTGAGATTTTGATCAAACAATGACCAACACAAAGTCAGGGGGGGGGGTTTCTCTCCATCCCATATCTTGCTTCAAATGTGCCATGTAAGAGAGCATGTTGTTACATAGGAACAATGTCTCTATGCAGGGGGAAAAGCACTGCATGCACATGCAAATTAATTTGCATGAGGTGCAGGAAATGTTGTACATGTGTGGTCTATGTCCATTACAATGAAGGGTCTCAAGTATGCCAAGTTGAACATTTTTTCCACCAGCCTGTCTTTGCTTTGCCAGCGAGGAGCCCTTTCTGGTCAGAGCAGACAATTATGTCTTACATGCATTTGGCTTTAACATACACCACAGACTGCTTTTAACCCAATCTATCGCATGTCCTTTCACAGGGTGAACAATGACAAAAGAATGCTTTTGTCACAACTCATATGAATAGCCTGTGAAGTGGCTTAAGGCTGAATGACTTGTGATGGACTTATAGGGACTTGTAACAGACTCCAATACAACACTGTCCCTCTTTGTTGGCATCCTGGAGCATTGCAAAGTATGAGGTTGTGGTAAGAAAAAAATCGAACAACTATTGCTCAAGGTTAATCCGATACGTCAGCATTTGTGGCAATCGGCTGTAAATCATTTCTCAAGTTTGATCCGCGACAAATGTGACCCGGCATGTTGAAGTCTGGAATAAGTCTCAAATTGACTTTTGAGATATGTACATGGTCAGAAAGAAAATTTCATAAGCTTTCAAATGGTACAAATTACAAGTGTGTTGATGGTATCCTTTCATACATAAACTTCCCAAATATACTGAAACCGCCACATCAATATTTTTCAACATTAACCCACATCCCCACTTCACTCGGCCATTACATACTGCAACTTATTCCTGATTGTTATGTGCTGGGTCACAAATGGTCAAACAATGGTCGATTTTAACTGGTGACCTATGCATGAAATATATACTGGGCACCAGGCAAAATCAATCAGTGGTTAAACAATTGACGCTGATCAAACTTGCCCATAAGATGAGCAGCAAATCTTGCTCTTTATGAAAATTGAAATTCCTCCCCAAATAGTACCTTCCACGAGTGGTTAAAAGCCAAGGCAAAGACTACAGAGGAAAAACTTACATGGAGAGAGGCATCTGGATTATCGACAAACATGTCCAGTTTGGCATTGGCTGGGGCAGTCTCACGGAAGTCGATACCAGTGTAGGCTGCTGCCTTCGCATCTAGGATCAGCATGAAACCACCTCTGTGGACAAGGGTGGTATTTTAAATCATATCAAGGTTTACTGAAGGACTCGGATCATCCTAGAAGCCTTCAAGTTCAAACGTTATTGAACGGCAAGGAGGGTATTGAGAAAAAGAGAGTCGATGACAAGTTGCCAGCAACCCCAACTGCCTTGCTGGTTTGGCTGGTGACCAATTTATGCTGAGCAAATGTTGCCCTGATTGACAACTCTGCTGGTGGATTGGTGTTAAAATTTTAGGCTCCTCCCAGGCAAAGGTTATTACTGCAATATGACAGACTCTTTAAATGACGGCACTCTCCGTACTGTGGTTGAAACTTACATGTGTGCACCATTTCTCCTAGGCACCTGTACATGGATTCATCTCACATAAAGACACTGTAGTTCTCTTCACATTCTGATGAAAATAGGCTAAGCAAACTCAGTGCCCTTTTATGCATGTAAAGGAGTGCACGAACAACGTTTCCCATGTGGGCTTTTGTGTATGGGCCCACATATACATGTCCTAGATGTCCTACATGCACATTGGGCAAATAAATTTGTGCATGTGCTGGCATTTCTACTGAACATTACTTATGATGCTTCTACTTTCGACAAGTGAAAACTTCTGCTGACCCGCCTAGGCCTGAGCTCTGCCCATTGACCACACCGATGCACAGCACAGCGGCGATAGCAGCGTCCACAGCAGACCCGCCCCTCTGCAGGATGTCCATGCCCACGTCAGAGCAGACTTTGTTGTCTGTGGCAATAGCACCATGCGGCGGAACCTGCAGGAATGTAAACAAAGACACCCACAACACTGTATCCAGTTTTAAAAGGAAACTGGTCTGCAGCTGAGTGATGATGATTAGACTGCAGATACACTGCAGATCCAGTGGGGCCAACAGGCCCCATGCCTTCCAAAAAGCCTTCCAAAAGAACTTTTTAATGGTTAAAAGTTGATTTTTGGGACAAAACTCACTTCCCTTCTTTCCAAAAGTGTGCAAACAACCCCATAATTTAGCCTCGTCCCAAACAAAGGTCATAACAGGTAACAAAAGGACTTTCCAACTTTTACAGGCCCCCAAAACCTTGGTTCTGGATCAACCCTTACTCATACAAGAGTTGGAAGTTCGCAACTGGGCTGTGAATCCACATTGTCCAGGAGTCCCTATAAACACAGGTTTATAGGGATCCATAAGTTGGATCCAGAAGGAAGTCAATGGGATAATTCTCCCCTCCCCCCACATTTTTGGGGAGGGAGGGGAAGGTTTCAGTAAGAGAAGGGCAATTTTCTGACTAATCTATCTTGTTATCTCCCCAGGTTTGTCACACATACAAGTACATGTACATGTATGTATGACAAACCTGAAAATGTTGCTTCCCTCAAAAAGCCCATCAAGATTACTATATTCTACCTTCAATATATTGGCCCTAATAAAATTCCACCCTCCCCCGAAACAGTTTTGATCTGGATCTGCCTTCATACAGTGACTTACTATTTCCAATATCTCTTTTAGAGTGGGAAAAAAGCAGTTTGGCTGAGAAAAAGTGAGTAAACAACTCAATTTCTCAATATTTTCTGGCCTCTTTACAGCAGAGCATGGTAACAGGAAACATAGAGTTGGTTAACTATAGGGTTCTTTGAGGAGTTTGATTTTCTCTTATAACTTAAAACAAGATACTAAAAACTTACGGCTATTAGCAAACTTTCCTGAGTGGATTTCAAATCTTATCTCATATCAATGGTGGTAGAACAATTTTCAAAGTGGGGAAGGGGGCCATTTGTGAGAATCTGCCAAAAGTGGGTGGGGGGAGAGATTACCTGCTAATAAAAAAAATGGAAGAGCCAGTGGCAGCCCTACCCCCCCCTTCCGCCGCCGGTGTCTCACATCCAGCCACGTTTGATGGAGACAGAGGGTGTAAGTATACTGTATGTACCTGAGGCTCTCCAACGAGAATGGTTATCACCATGGCAGCAGTGATGGCCAGGGACACCACAATGGCTGACACGATGATGACCCGCAGCCCGTCAAAGCCACAGATGGTCTCATGCCGGATGGACTGCTGGGTGCGTAGGGGGGCATTCTCTGTCCGTCTGGGCTTCTCGGTGCCATCAATCAAGGTGGCCTTGTCTGTGTGAATTATATACATGTACCAATTGTGACATTTCCACCAAAGGGAAAAAAGACAAAAATTGTGAGTTTGTATCAGATTAAAACGAATAGACAACATAGGAAAGTCCTATCCCCTTTGCCATGATGGTATGCAAATGGGAGATGTACATGTACATGTAGAGTGAAACTTTCCAACTAAACTATACATATCCAGAGCTTGTTTAACGATAACAAAATATTTGATGGTGTATTGATAACATTCAATAATGCATTCTGGTAACCGGAACCCATCGCGTTTGCATGCTCTCCACCGGTACCTTCAGTTACAGATACATGTACAGTCAACATGTTACATGCTACCAAGCCCAGATATCGTGAACAAACCTTTGGTGCTGATGGTGGGGTCTTCTTTGGGCACACCTATATCTTCCTCAACCAGTGATGAGTATGTTGAAGCAGCCATTATCAAAACCGTGTGTACCAAACTTCACACTAGCATGTGTAGAGTGTACACCTTGAAACTGACCGCCACACCTTTTTGCAGTACAGTTAAAATACAGGTTGGCCTGATGGGTGAGGCCTTTAGATGAGTGTATCAACGAGGCTCTGTCACCACTGCTATGCACGCAAATGGACAATGTCCACACTCATAAGCAGTTGGCTCAAATCAATAAAACAGTCACAGAGGCAAAACCACTGTATAGAAATATGCTGACAGAAATACAGAGTACAAAAATATACATGTATTGCTGTATAAACACAGGCAGCTAAATGTAAACGGTTCAGCGATTTTCCACACTGCTACCACAAGCATAATGTACAGTTACACGTACAGCAGTATGCTAACTCGTTTTCTGTACAGCAGTCAGCCACAAACGCTGTCTGTTATCTGGCATTATGTTAATTTATGTGCTCCGTTCTATACACATGTACCAGCATCTTCACAATGTCAAACAGTTAATTTACATATTAAAAACCTCATCACAAAAGAAGGTTCTTTGGGGGATGGAGACTGAGGAAGGAATTCTTAAAAATTATTTGGCCATAGGTTCAAAAGTTTTGGAGGGGATTTGCATTATCAGTTGGATAAATTCACTGCTTGGCAAGCAACACCGTAACAAGTACATGTACATGTACTGGTAATTGCAATAAATGAATTAATCTGCAACACTCCTGAAACAGATTGCTGGCCAAATTATTCCACAATTTGTAGCCTACAGTACCTTCTCAAATCATCAATGTTAAAAAAGTCAGCAAACCCGGAAAAAAAAATGCTGCATTAATACTGAAATTGAACTGATGACTCAAAAAAAGTACATGAAAAATTAATAAAGACATCTTTTCATTGGAGAGTTCAGATTCGCATTTTAGCAATCTCAGAATACTTTAGACAGCAGTACAAGAAAAAGGTACATGGTGAGGTCTGCAACCTACAAAGTCCTGGGGAGGGGTGATCTGATGAACCCGCAGACCTATGAATGCCTCAGCCACCAGTCTTGCACATTTACCCATGATTTGCCCCTTGCTTGCCCATGACAAGTATGGGCAAGCAAAGGGCAAAACAGTGGATGGCAGTGCGTACCTCGTGCATAACACACTTACCGGTACATTACTGGAATTTGTATAAATGTGCTCTCAAAATACATGTATGTTCCATTTTTGCTCTTCGGTACTGCCATTTCTTTGGTTCAAATGTTGCAGCCGCATCGTTTTGAATCGACATGTACATGTACATGTGCCAGATAAAGTAAACTGGGGATTTTTCCTATGGAAAAATGGCTGAAGTCACAGAATTTTATGGTGGGAATTCTCCAACTGATTCCCTGTACCGAGGAGTGAATTTGCCGATAGTTTTGATTTTAGTCAGGTGCCATGCAGATCATGAAATGTTCATGTAGTTTTGAAAGCGGTCTTGCAGCCTACATGTTATACATGTACATCTGTGTGTGAAAATCTTGGGCAGAATCCATGCATTCCACTCCAATGTTGGCTACTCCAATGGCAAAAAGTCAACTTTAATAATTCAGCATATAGTTGGTACAAGTAATTGTATGTTAGCTCATTTAAAAAAAGTGTAATTTGGCATTTTTTTAATCTGGTTAAAAGCTTTGTGTTACCATGGTGTTTACCAAAAAGATTAAGCCCACAGAGAGAGCTGAAGCACAACAAGCTGCAAATGGGAACGCAAAGTTAGATGGTGTACCATGGTTGGAGTTGGACTCAATTAATATTGGTTCACTGGTAATCTGCATGATTGCTTCATCGAGCTACATACCATGTATACCATGTTACACCGTGTCCACAGCCCCAACTGTATCCAATGCCTAGTAGAGGCTGGTCCGAATTTTGATTATAACATTGTTTCTCCTCGTATCCACACAACATGTAAAGCCCAACTCAGGATACCTTAACCCTAACACTCCTCAGTCCTCCAACAGGTGGAGGATTGAGGAGGGTTAGGGTTAAAAGACAATGTCCAGAATGATCCGTTCCTATGAACACTAAAGATCAAGGGTTGATAAGGTAAACACGGCTACGCATGCTACACATACACGTATGTGCTATGTGAGCGCATATCATGCAAACATACTATTGCTGAGGAGTGCTCTTGTATGCGCGTACGTGCGATTCACTTGGAGCGCTACACTTGCCTGAACCAATCAACACAGATCAAGCAATGGGATAGGCAGAACAAAATTTCCCAGGGATTTTCGGGGGAAGTTGAGCAAATGAACTGGATTTTGTTTAGGATCTGGATTCTGTGTGTCTGTTGGCAGATATGCTGAGTACGGTAGTACATGTACAATGTTGTTGTGCACAAGTGGTTGTAACGATCTCATGTATCCGGTGTGTCCATTTGTCCAAAAGGAAAACTTTACTTACATGTATGTAAAATTGCATTTTGATGCAGATTTTTGCAAGGTTTGTGTGCACTGTGTGCATTACAGGGTACCTGTAGAAACGACATTTTTTTTGCAGCACACGGGGCATAATTGTGTGAGTTGAGTGTGCAGTCTTATGAGTCGACTTGGCATTAGCAGGCAAAACAGAGAGACTCCCTTCTGATGAAAGAGTGACTGTATCATTTTATACATGCACCGGTACCTCTCCAATGGCCAGAACTCAGATGATGAAAGGCCTGTACGATACCATGACAAGTAACGCATCTGATGATGATTCAGTTAATTACTAAAAATAGCCCTGCATGAGGTAAAGTAAGCACAGCAGATAAATGAGTATGTGACGAGCTGTAACATGCTCAATTATCCACCGAATCCGCCAGAACAAGTGAGACTGGATACATGTAAGTGAGATCATGACGTCAAGAACATATTGAAAAACAGTCAAGGCAGGGGACTGAGTTGGGGCAGGCCCAGCTTCATGAAGCTGCCAAGAGTTCGGCCTACACCCACATGTGTAGGTCCATATGGACGCAATTGGGGTAGTTAAGCAGGTCAGGACATACAATGCTATGTCAGTTCACCTGTGTGAACTCTGTTGACCATGCTGCCAGGCATCAGTTGATCACCTTTTCTGTCTCATTTGCTGCTGTCATATGGCTGTAAAAAGGAAATGTAACTGATATGACTGAGATGTAGAGGACTGAGTGACGGCACAGCATAATCAATCTGCCCACAGAGCTACAAACCCTGCAAAACAAGCATGACACCGACAATATCTTTGAATGTATACCTTTCGAAGATCTCTAAAGTTCCAAGGGTACATGTACATGTATGATGTACATGAATGAAAGAATGTCCCAATATTATTGGACATGCACATTTGCAATAACTTTCACTGAATTAGCCATAGTCACACATATACCTAGCTAGTGACTAAATTGCGGCTGTTAAACTGTGTGTCTTTTATCATCCCAGCCAGCAGCATGAGGAAAGATATGTGGAAATGTACACGGACATCACTATAAATTTCCCTTACAGTGGTTTCCTAGTCCATCAGAAAGTGATAACATGTCCTTGACAAATTTTGCAGTGAAAATATTGACACATTTACTTAGAAAAAAAATTAGAATTTTTTAGACCAGTCTCATGGGGTTTAGGCACAGGGTGTCAAGCGATGTCCGTGTATGGAACTCTTTCCCAGCATGGTTCTGTACGTACCGGTAGGTCTGGGGGAGTGAGAACTAGATAAGGTATTTCAACTTTGGGTTTTTTTTTTTTTGAGGGGGGGACTTTAACCTCCACACACAATCATCCAAGCAGGTACTTCCTGGTTTCTATTCCTGTCAATCCTTCCAAAGCCTGACCCTCTAAAATCCAAAGCCTAGACGACCCTCCCCCAAAGCCGGACTCCAGCTGGTCTACCAAGGCACCCTAGGGCAAGTACGGGTACATGTACTGTAGTTCCTCGCTAGCATTGTGTCCACCGTGCCCGTGCCAGTAAGGCGGCCGGCGGAGCGCGTGGAGCATGGCCAAAAATACATTCTCCAGACGTATACAATGCAATGGCAACGTAACCTACAATGTACCCACCGGAAAATTCTTCCATGTCGAATTCTTCTACCGTAGCCCCATTCAAGGGCAAAGCTTCATACCGTGTCCCGTCCATGTTCCCGATGAGAGGGGAAAAGGGGCCCTTGCCAGCCCAACTTCAGCCAACGGCAGTGCTTGTAGCTGACCAGTACCGTAGGTTGACCGATGCGACCGGCCGGGGTGTACACGGTGCGGTCCCTGGGTACTCCCCTCACTTGCTAGCTGGACGGTGCGGGGCGGAACGACCGTTTGCGTACGCGCAGGAGAAAGCGCCGAGGCCTTGCGTGCGTGGTCGATCGAACATCCGTCTGACAGGATCAGTCGTTAATTAATAAAAATATATTGAATAATGCATCTTTTTGCGTTTCTAGCCGAGGTGATTGGTCTTCTTGTGACCTGCTGCAATAAACAGAATATCTGAATATTTTATGTATACTATTTTAGTATCAATTAATCTTATTTGAGGTAAAAGCTTACGTCGTGAAAAAATTTTCAAAGATAAAAAATAAAGTAAATATAAAAATTTTATTTGAAGAAGGAAATTTTCAGTTAATTTGTTCTAAATGTGCACACAATATATGTAATTTTTTTCTGCTTGAACGAGGATGATGTCGTTTCCTCACTACACGTGAGGCAAAAATCCTTAAAACGTGAAACAATCCGATATTCACTTGGTTTTTCTTCTTTTTTTGTGAAATTCATATCAATAAATTGTATTTTTTTCAAATAATTTCGCTTTCCATTTTCATGCAGCAAGAAAGGACCATTATTACCACGGACTACTTTACTACTACGCATGACCCGCGAACGCGCCAGTCACGTCAGCACTTACTGAGGCGTCACCGCTACCGGGGCATCGCGGATGAAGTTTAGCGGGCGGTGCCCGCTGGAGTTGACCCGGGAGCTCTTGGGGCTGATCAGCATTATCATCGCTTCATCATGGCCGACGCGGAGGGTAAGTTCCCGGTGACGTTTCCTCATTTTTGAAACCCACTGTTTCACTCTTTCCTACTTCCCAAGTCTCTTAAAATTGTATACCAGTATTTAGACGATTAACCGTAGATCACCTTGTTTGCTGTTATGTATCGATTTGTTGGCTTCGAAATCTGGTTTGGGTGAGTTTTCCGGAGTGGTTTCAGCGGGGATTGAGTGGGTAAGGTGCAGCGGTTGCGCCACGCTGGCTCAAGGCAGGCAGGCATGACGCAGCTTCCCCACGCATGATACGATACGTCAGGCAGGCATTGGCCAGGTCAGTTTGGCGGGCTCTGCAGGCCTATGTGTGGTACGTGTGCTTGCGCTCAGCTCCCTTGCAAGAGGAGCGCGCGGGGCCGTGGCTCGCTCCAGGCACCGTGTTTTTCACCGCGGCTCGGCTGAGGCGTCCCAGCCAGCACAGCAGTCTGGGGCTTGGCAGACCCAGACGAGTCGACTGGCTAGGCCTATTTTTATACATTTACACTGAATAGCTCGCGGTGTCTGGCGAATCGTGTGGCATTGAATAATGGTTTGTCGTTTGCCAGTGTTGAAAGAATGCGACTTTTTTCTTACTCTTCACTAAACCTGGCATATAGATTAATTTGCAGCCCTGGAAATTCGAGGATGAACATGATGAATGGAAATCGGTAGTCTCCCATTTTACGTGACGCTCAATTATTGGTGATCTTTAGCTTTTAGACACACGGAGTCAATTTAAACGTTGCACTCGTATCCGTGACTCAGGTTTACTGGGGACGTCCCTGCATTCGGCTTCTTAGTTGTTGTTCATAGTGGGTTTTCTTCTTTAAACTAAATTAGGCTTAGCTTCACATTTCAGTGAAAGTAGTTGAAGTGAAGAAATTATGTGAAGTGTATTTTTTTTTAAAAAGAACTCCAAGCTGCTTCACTGTTAGTGACCTAATTCTAGAAAGATTGCTCCTTTTCCCAATATGCTACACAAAATAGATTCGAAAACGCAGAAAATACATTCTAAATTTTTTGCCTCCCTTGTTTTGTGGTAGTTTTTTTACCAAGAACTTTCATTTTCTACTAAGCAGCTGAGGTTTTTTTCCCGAATGCAATTTTTAGGCCAGACAAATCTGAACTGAAGAAATTGCAGCAGACACATTAAATCATGGATGTATGTAATTGTTTATGCTCGATATACAATTGGATTATTACCTTTTTGACATAAAACAAGGATGTTGTACTTTGTTTTGAAATCTTCAAAAACAAGCAAGATTTTTTTTGTCTATTTGCAAGTGCTTTTAAATGTTAAGTTCACTTACATTATCCTTTGATATTCTCATCCCATGATAGTCTGCCCTGTGGTTTACTTTTTGAATCACCACTTAATTTAAATGTTTATTTATCATTAAGTGTGCTGTGGCTAAACTTGAATATATTTCTAATCCAAATATAGCACATTGCTGGGGTGAACTGAATGGATTTGAACTGAAGTCATTGTGTCTGTTGCCATGGTTTCTGTTTCTATTCATTGACGTACAGTGCTTCAAAGGTTGCTGGCTTGCCTGTGTTGGGGTCATAGGTGTGGCAACTTAATTTTGACATGGCCTTTTGAGATCGGTTTATAAATGTTAAAACCTTTTGTGTCAGCACAAATAAATTGATGTATTCTACAAAACTGTTACGTATGCCTGTGCTACACTGAAAGTAGTTCTCCTTTCAGGGACTTTGTGTTGATGTGGTGAATTATTTATTTTGATCAAACGTTCTCTGAAATAGTTTAATTACTGCTAAAAATATTTGTTATAATGAAATAATATTGTACAGAGTGAAGTGTGAAAAGATGGAAACGTGATAAAATTAGTGATTTTTCAATTTGAAATTGGTAGTTTTAACAGTTAACAAAATGTGTTGAGCAAGTTCGAATTTCTTTAAAGAGTTTTTCAAACTTATTCAAAACATTTTGAAAATTGTTAAAACTACCAACTTCATATTTCAGTTAGCTTCAGAAATAAAATATTTCAGTGTTCATATTCTTAAATATTTCAATTTGTAAGTCAGTCTTGATGATGTGTATTTCCAAAGTAACCCGAGGCAAAAAGAGAGCCAGTTCTGCTGACAGTCAGCCCGCCCAGAACCAGGACCAAGGGCCAGCGAAGAAGCATGCCAAGACTGGTGGGTTCTCGCCAAAAGCTTTTACTGGTTGTTCTTTATTTTTAAACTAAAAACTTCAGTTTCTGTCCCCATTCAATACCAGCGGGGTATCCAGGTTTGGGGGTTGGTGGGGAATGGGGATTTTTTTTTCTAAAAATGAATATCCAAATTTTTCATCTGTAAAAGAATCCTAAATCCCAAGAAAGTTGTACCATATGTATTTAAAGGGTTATTGTTTTCTGCCACCAAAAAAAGGAAGTATGTCTTGGAGGAGAACTTGCCCCATGCCCCCCTTGGATATGCCATGGTTTACAACAGTTGAAGAGGGTTGAAAAGATGACACAGCCCTTGAGGACCTGCAGCAGGGAACAATAGATTGGTTTTTTTTTTAAAGAAACACTACTAGAAATTTGTTCTTTTTTGCTTTGTTTTGTTTTGTTTTGTTTTTGGAGTAATGTTTCAGACACAGTTGAAATAAAACCAAAATAGACATTTTATTGCTGTTGAAATGAATACAATGTTTTTTCTTGTAATGCCATGGCAAAAGTTCATTCTCCAGCCTTACTCACAGATTGTATCCAATTCCTGGCAAATTTCTTCCAAGTTACAATCTCTGCATTTCTCACTCACACATTTATTCAGGTACAACCACTGGTCTTTTCTCTGTTTCAGTCTTTTCCTTGCAGGACCGCCTCCAACTTATCCACAACATTCAGGAGCAGGCCCCTAAGACAGACAAACACTCCTACAAGGTCTGCATCTCCAAAATCGACTGGAGCAAGATTGGTTTCGGTGACTTCTCTGCCGAGGCCTGCCAGAAGGAGTGGGACGTCATCCAAAATGAGGCAAGTTCTAGAGTCTGTTTGTCTGTTGATTATTTTTTATTTGTTTGTTTAATCATTTTGTTCAATTGCATAATGTTTGCTTTGTTTTGTTTTGATGGTGTCATGGAGCGAACGCTTATCCAAAATGAGACGAGTCCTCGATAATTGTCTGTTTATTTGTTCATTTGTTTGTTTGTTTGCTTTGTCATGTTTTGGATTACATCATGGAGTGGAGCATCATACAAAATGGGGCGATTCTCCAAGTTTGTTTGTTTGCTTGCTTTTTGTTCACTTGTTTTTGTTTTGTTATGATGACTTCATGGAGTTGGACATTCTATTTGAAGATTCATATGTTTGCTTAATTTTGTTTTGTTTTTGATTATTCAACTTATGATAATTTTTGTTTAATTTTAAAATTCATTCAAAGTTTGATTATGCAAAATGCATCATCTTGTATTGTTATTTAGTGACCTTGTGATGCCACTTTCATTTTTGCCCCCCCCCTTTATTTTTTAGATTCGTAAATACCGCACCATGGCAGAGGTTACTGCAGATGCCCTACAGGTGGTTCAGAACCCATTCTCGCATCGCAAGCTGGTACGTATTTGGAGTTGCCTAGCATCAGAGCTCTGCACCTGCTGACTCTCAAGTGGTTGGAGTGTGATTACTCTTGTGAAATGAAGGCACAGCAGTGCCATTTTACAGAGTGTGGTCACCTTAGGATGCACTGTCCTAGTAAAGCCCAGTGCAAAGCATGCAACTTATGCACTATATAGTTGTATGAATTTGGTCAGAAATTTGTCAAGAACACTTGTGTTCTCGGCAAATTGTATGCAAGTGCTTTGGGTTCACTTATAATGTCCATAAACCAGTTTTAATTTGTTTTGAATAAACAAGAAAGTTCCCATTCTCATTTAAAATTCTCAGAAGAGGTTGTACGCCTCAACTGCAGAGCTTTATCATGGGCGGCCATCATGTTTTTCTACCATTGAAAGCAATGTAACCAACCTGAGTTTTATCAATATGTAAAGTTGTATTACTTTTGTCATTTGATGCAAGACCAAAAATAGTAGCATCACGATAAAGGTCCATAGCATCTGTCCCAACTACACTTTGAATTGTTTTAACTGTAGTTAGGACTGATACTGTCATTGTGGCATAACAAGGCTGTTGAGACAATAGGGAGAAAAGTAAACAGGCTTGACAACTCCCTTGTAAACCCAGTATTTCAGTATTTTAAAAGAAAATGTTGTAAAGGCTCAAATATACTTTTATCATATTTATGCTGGCGTTTGACCCTTTTTGTTGTAAATGAATGCATTTCAACATACATCTCTACTTTTAATGACAGGTGCACCCTGACCTTCCCAAGCAACCTTTGACCCCATTCTTCATGTTCTACTCGGAGAAGGCCAAGAAATTCAAGAAGAAGCACCCAGACATGCCCCAGTATGAGATATCCCGAAACCTGGCCCTCAAATTCAAGGAATTGCCGGAACACAAAAAGGTCAGTAAGATCCGAGAATCATTTCAAATGTAGTGGAGTTTTGTTGCTGTTATTGAGTTGGTGTCATCTTTTGAATCAGGGCCGCATTTTGTGGACCTCGTAAGCACCCACATCTGCTAAGCTCATGAAAGTTTGGCAGTCAAAATGTCATTCTGTGTGCATCGCTCATGAGGATTTTCTGTAAAAGAGACTTTACCTCGATGGACCTTTCCCATAAAATATGCAAATTAGACAGGCATGCGCGTTACTACCACTGGTTGGCAAGTGTGGGTGTCAAGAATGTTGGCAGTGTAGGCCAGCTGCTAGAAACATAATCTGGCACATCAATGAAAACTATATTACAGCCTTTGTCTGATACTTCAACACAGTTTTCTGGAAATTAAGTGAAGTTTTCAGGGTCCTGAGGTTGGAAAGTCACAATTCCTTGTCTTTAAAGTTTGGTTCTCTTGTCTTATACTGCTATAGAAATGGCGTGCATGTGCTCATAGTTCCGCATGCGTGGAGATTTGTACTGTTACGTCATAGATTTAAGCAACATTGTCAACCAGTGGTAGTCATGTGCATGGGAAAGGTCCATTCCAACCATGAACATAGAACACCAGAACACTACTCCTCTGAGGTTTTCACTGAAACCAATTTTTATTACCATTTTCACAGGCCAAATACAACCAGAAGTATGGTGATCAGAGGCTGATGTACCAAAAGGAATTGGCTGCATTCTTGTAAGTTTGTATGATTTTTCTTGTAAATAGTATGTCAACAACTTTGTGAGTCCTATATGATGAAAATACTACTGAAAATAAATGCATCAGCAAAACAACATCTGAAATCCAGTTTCAAGCAACTGAATACCATTTCAAGGAACTTCAAGGATCTCATTCAGCTGTTATGTACTAAAGTTCTGCCTTCTTATGAATATTCATTTCTAGGGCGGAGCATCCAGAGTACAAGAAGGACTCCCGGCATGGAGGGGGTGGGCCCAAGCCCCCTAAACTGTTGAACCCTTACCAACTCTGGGCCAACAAAAGATTTGAGGCTTTACAGCGGGAAGATCATGAGGTTTGTACCATTACAGCAAAACGGGGATTCCATTTAACATATTTAGTGTAATCAAAAAATGAGAACATTTTAATTATAATTTTGTTGCGCAATTTGCACAATGTTGTAGTTGATTGTTTCTGCTTTAGAAAGAGTGCCTCGTCTTTACCCTTCTTCTACACACAACCTGTGATTATGACCTTTGACCTCAAGCAGGTGACCCGGGGTCAACTGGACGCCCAGCTGCGAGAGGAGTGGAAGAGTATGCCTGACAAGAAGCGAGTCAAATGGATCAACAAGGCACTGGAGGAACAAATCAAATATGGGGTATGTCCCTGGTGGATGAGGGGGGCTGCTTGGATAATTGAATCAGCACAGCTCTTGAGAGAAAATGTGTCTGGGAAGAAAAGCCAGCCAGAAGCTGTTGATTGAAATTGAAATCAGATCTTCTGATACCCATATAATGATTGTGCCTTGTGTCCCTGAGCTGGACAGCTTGCCTCAGTTGCCTTTTTCATGAAGTGTATTTGTGTGTCTGATATCTTTACTTTAAATGATTAGAAACAGTTGTGTCTTCAATAATTGTTTGAGTTATTTTGGGTTATGAGTATCGTAAGTTTTGTTATGCTTTTACAATTTAAAATGAAATTTCGAGTGAGCCTTATTTTTTTGAATCTTCTAATAGTCATTTACCAATCTTACTTTATAGAAAGATATTGAGGAATACTTGGAACAGAACCCCAACTTCAAGGTCCCTGAAATCAAGAAGCCCTTGCTGACCAAGAAAGAGCTGAAACTGAAGGAGGGGATGGATGGCAAGCCGTCAAAGCCACCAGCGTAAGCTTTTCTTAGTTTGTAGTCGGGTGTCTAAGAACATTAACAAGTTCTGCCATCCACGTTAGCTTTGGCACCAGACTGCTTGCCCAGAATTTCACTCTTGTGATGTCAAGAAAGCTGTTTGTTGTCAGGAGACTGCGAGTGTAGGGCATCTCCCATTTATCTTTGTCATTGCTATGGTCGAGACCATCATAAACTCATTCACAAGTCTTGGCAAAGTTGAATTGCCTCAAGATATACTACAGGGTGAACGATTCCCCTCCTTTCCTAAACATCAAAATAGCTTGACCATGTTCTGCTCAAAACCCTGTACAGGCCGGAAGTATCCAGGAAAGGCTAATGTAAATGCTAAACCTGAATTGCAAGGACAATCTTGTATCAATAAGATGCGAAATTTGTTGAGAAATTGCAGTGTTAGGAGACAGAGCCACAGTTTATTGTGGCACACTCTTACACATTCAATTCTCAACCTTTCAAAGATTTCATTTCACCCCGAAGGCTGCGTGGTGTCACAGTGAATCAATCTATGCATTGTCACAAGCAGATATAGATTGCAATGTCTCAAGAAAACATCCTATGCAGTTTCACGTTTGTTTACAGTTGTTTCACATTTCTTTACAGACTACAGGGAAATAGTATCCTCCAATGTAAATATCATCCAGTGTGAGCTCTGCGTTGTTATAATTTTGTTGTGGAGACGTAAACATGCTCATAGAAACTTACATCTTCGCTGTTTTTTTTTTTTAAGTTCTTCAACTGAAGGGAAACAACCAGTTTTTAGGCTAGCTGCATCAGCCAGACATTGAGCTTGATTTCCTGTTGTAAAGGTTGTGCAGACAGAAATGATCAGTATTCCAGCTTAGAAATAAATGTAATGAGACAGACTGGCAGAGGGATTGGACTGCGTTGTCAGAGAAGTCAAAAGTTACAGTCGGAATGAGTTCAGCAATCCTGTCTCCAGTGTGATATGCCAACCTGTGGGATACGCTGCAGTTGATAGATTGGTTGATTTTGGGAATCAGCGTTGTCACTCGAGGCCCCCACAGGACCAATTGTAGTCACAAGCCATTCAAATGAACTACAACAAAAGCTTTCCTTTGCCATTGTTCCCCAAGTGTGTGACTTTTCTTGTGTCAGTCTTGTGCTTGGTGTTGCATCTCATCTTGTGCCTGGTGTTGTGCCTGGTCTAGTGATGGTCTAGACTACATCACTGTTATGCAGTGATCTGCTGAAAGGGGATATCTATAGACTTGTTTTCATATTAACAAAAATTCACTGATTGTAGGCTTATTTGTATTTGTTTATGTTTCATTTCAGCAATGCGTACAACCTCTTCTGCTCAGAGATGCTGAAGCAGATGGGTCACATGGGGTCCAACACCCGTGCCAAGATGATGGAGTGCAGTGCGCTGTGGTCTGACACGGACCTCAAGAAGAAACAAGAATACAAAGAACGAGTGGAGAAGGTGGGCGGGTCTAGTGGACTCGTGTGGGCCAATGAAAAGTTGGAAATACTTATATAAAAATCATTCTTCATAGATTCTGAATATGTACATGTCAATAAGAAATTGAAATGTATTTTCTTTCGTTTTCATTTTTTTCCCCCCATTACAGCTTAAATCTCAGTACAAAAAGGAACTTGAGAAATACATCGAGGTACGTAGGAATTTATAAAACCTGACAACTGAATTTGAAGGGTTTCTACTAAATAGAAATGCGTATTTGGATTCCTCTCATTACCTTGATATTTTCTATTTTGAGTTGGCAAAGTCATGTAAAACGACATACATAAACTGTCTCTTTGTTGGAAGGCCTGAACCAGAAATATGACCAGATCCAGGTTTTCCCCAGTTATACTGTTTGATAAAATATGCCAAACGCAAACGGATCTCCCTGTTTGGATGTGTCATTAGTTTTGTCACCTGATAAAAGTGGGCCTTATGTGGGTAAAACATTGAGAGTTCCTATGGATTTACATTGTGAAAGATTCTTTCAAATCCCTTTAACTCACAAGTGGCTCTTTTTACTTGCGACTCAGTTTGTATGATTGGGTCACAAATATGTGGTCAGATTTCAGAAACCTGTGCTGTACGTAGTTAATGTTTTGTCATATTGGGAAAAGGTATGAAAACTACTGGCTAGCAATCATTTTTGGTCACTTTGCACCACTTGGGTCGATGAAGGGCTGAATGTGAAAACATTGACATGAAGTTTCCGTTTGGGTTTCAACTCACAGAGCCTTCCGGAGGGAGAGAGAGCCAAGTACATGCCCGAGCTTGAAGCCATCGAGCGACAGTCCAAGAAGACACCTAAATCCTCAAATGTAAGATGCTTTTTGCCACGAATTTTATTGTGCATTTTTGGGGGGCTGATTGCATCAGGATGAAATTCAGCTGGAGTGTTTTTTTGTCATGTTTTGCAAGCACCTGCATGCCCATTTAGAACTGAAAAGGAATTTGCTTTGCAAGGGTGATAAGATTTTCCATGCCTAAAAGCCTTCACAAAGTGAGCTGAGGGAAACCTACCAACAGAAAATGTCACTGGAATTGTGAACACTGTGAAATGACAAAACATCCTGTCATTTGTAATTTTCACACCTGGGCACTATTCCCAAATGGGCCGTACATTTACCGGAGGCTTTAGCTTGGTAGACAATTTCATATGCATGCACATTACCATCCATGGACCATCCTATTTGAGAAATGACACGTAATTGGTTCACTATAATTGTTAATTTAAAAAAAATTTTCAGTTTGGCCTGAATTCTTTCTCTGGCGCATAGATTCTCAGAATGGTGGCTTCAGGTTGTATTAATTATAAACAATCACCAAAATGTTCAAAGCCAGTTTAGGATTCATCACCCTCTCATCTGATGTCCCACCTCTGCCACATCCCCCATACCCCATCCATTGCCCACATGGAATGAACCCTACAGTATATCATTCTTTTTGGCATCAATTTACTTCAAAATTTTTTGACAGTTAATCTGTTCCAGTCATTTTCAGTTGGGGTGTTATTCTTTGCCTTGGATGCCCTGGAATGAAACTCTTCTCAAAATGCAAGCATTTTTTTGTATGCCTGTTTTGCAGATTTGTTTGTTTTAAGAGTTGGCTTTGTGCTAATTTCATAGAGCTGCTTAAGCATGAAAAAAACCTTGCTTGACAAATCAGTTTACCAGCCACAACTCCATGTGATGTTGATTGTTTTGAAATGGTATTCACCTGTCTTTTGGTTAGCATGACAATCACATATATTTTGAGCTGGTAACCTTTGTTTTGTAAGCGAGGGTTTTTTGTGCTCAAGCAAATTTTGCACTTGAGCAGCTCCATGAAATTGGCCCCTGCTGTCTGTGGTAAATTTGCATGAAGAATCAGCTGTCTCTGTGCCATTGTGGATGTAAATGTTCACCCTGCCAAAAAAGACTACCTCTGCTATCTTAGGAATTGTGGCATATATTGATGAATTTCCAAAAATAATATTCAGCAGTCAACAACAAAAAAAGGATTCATGTTTTAAGACTTGCATCAAAAATGCAAGTAATCATTTTTTGGTGAATCCCATTTGAACTTTGACCCCACACAGATTTGCTGCATTTGAATGAATCCCCAATATTCTAAAATATTTTCTACCAGAAATATTGAGATAGTACAGTTCATAAAAAGTTTGATTTTGCAGATCAGAATCTGTATATAAAATAATTGCACGAACCTAAAATTTGAAACCAAGGCATTTTTGGAGAATAATTCAGTATATGCAGTGCCTTCAGGTAGCATGATTTATAAAAACACTGACATCATCAAAAACCGTCAAAGCATCAGCACTGTTTCCTCCCTCAAAAAAGAGCCAAATATTACCCCCACCCCTTCTTCCTGGCTGCCTCGCTTTTGTTTTAGTTGCATCTCCCCCTTTCCTTTCACCCCCCTTCCTTTTTGGTCCAGTCCACGTCCTCCCGCCTCAAACCCAAGAAGCCCGTCTCTGCCCTCTTTCTGTACACCCAAGAGCACCGGGACGCGTACCGGGACAAGAACCCAAGCATGAGCGAGACTGAGGTCACGCGAACCCTGGCGCGGCAGTTTGGCGAGCTGTCCGATCGGCAGAAGGTAGGATCGGCCCAAAAAGAGGGGGAAAAATACACCAAAACAAGTTGACACTAAATCTGTGCTGGTAGTCTGTTCTTAGCTTGTAGGGGGAACTGCTTCTTGTTTCTACTCTGCCAATACATAGCTGTCACAGTAGATCCTAAAGTTTGGTTGGAAGTCAGTAGATAAATAAAAGTTGAAAGTTTCTAGCTTGCCAATGTCTTTATGTCAATGTATGCTCAACATTTTAACTAGTGGTTTCTTCCACGCCTGAGCAAAAAGCTTTTTTATCTCTTAATGTGCAGTCATCTGAAATACACTCCAAAATGTTGCTAGTACTCTGGCCCACGCCTGTACCAAACAAAGTTTCATGTTTCTAGTCCGCCAAAAAGAGTCATTAAAGTAGACCCAAAAGTTTGGCTAGTAAGTCTGTCTAGGGCAGTGACACGTACCCTGATATCTGACCAAAACTGGCACAAATGAGATCCTGTTCTTTAGATTTAATAACTGAAAACCTCTTTTGCAAACTCCAAAACAACCTTTTAGGAAACAAAGCCTAACTTTTCAAAAGTAATCAGATGTATTAAAATGAAAATGACCTAAACAAAACTCAGATTTTTGATAAAAAGCCTCTGAAGTAACTTTGAGATTCTTCAGAACATATCACAAAGGGCAATTTGGAGGGAAATCTCACATCAGCAAAATGCTTGTCTGGCTTCCAAATTTGAATGGTTACCATGGTTCCTCTGGTACCTTCCCATAAGTCTGTTCTGGGTCGTTGCAGTTCATCAGGCCAGTGTTTATTTTCCAGTTTGCCATAGCATCACTGAAGGTGTCTGATTTTCCCTGGACAGGATGCCAGTCAACTGTAGATTCTCCAGCTTTTGAATCCTTTTTCACTTCCTGGATTTCTTTATTGCTTGAAAAAAAGAAAAAGAAACCCTGGCATTTGTGTGATATGTGTTTGGCTGAGTGGCTTCTTGCATGCATGCATGGCACTACATAAACCCTTTGCATTGATCTCAACATTGCTGCATTCTGTACTTGTGCCGCTGTGTACTATTCGTAGAGGGATGCTTGATAACTGCTTGATGAAGGGGCCTCCAAGGCTTGGTTCCAAACTATGAAGCAAAGGTTTTCTTCAGGTAATAGTTTTTTGACTGTGGGCATTTTACAGCACTTCTTCCCCCATTCCCCCCATACCTTGCACCTCCCTTTCTCCCCACCCCATCCCCAACGCCCTCTCCCCCTCCAAAAGATGAAAACCAACTGATCATGAAAAAATCATTAGGAACAAAATAATTGGACACAGAAACTAAACAAAACTTGTTTGCTGATGAATTTGGAGGTTCAAGAGCAATACTGCATTAGTGTATGTTTGGATTTTTGTGTTTACGATTTTTATTTCTTTCAGGAGAAATATCGGCGGAAAGCTCAAGAAGCCAGGAAAGAACAAGAAGAAGAGTCGGAGTGAGTCGAAGTTGTTTTTTTTTTTCTCATGTGTGCAGAAAAAATAAAAAAGGGTGATTGTGCCTAGTTGAATATTTTGTAGAATACAGCATAGTAACATAAGCCTATCGTAGCATTTTTGCAAGGAACCTTCCTGAAGATTTCAAATTTTCCACTGCATTGTAGGAGACCTGTGGCACATTCTTGGTACTTAACTCTTAAGAGCATCAAGCCCCATGTAACAAGCAAAAGTGACCAGGGCTTGGTACCCTTCCTCTATTTTACAAATCCTTCAGGACTACCTATATTTTGAAGGGTTTGGGAGTGTTAAGGGAGATATTGTATATCCAAGTGTAACAGTTGGACTGAAGAGTGAGCTCTGAGTACTTCTGATGTGTTTAAGGAGCGTAAATGCTTGTGTAAAACACAGCTCGACTCAAATATATAGTTATGCTTAGTTCAAATGTCAAGGACGCGGACTTCAACTGTAATCTGAGTCCTCTTGAAATGTTGGCATATGTTGTTAAAATACTCATATCGATCCCTACCTGTCTATGAAAAATGGTCATTCTGGCTTTAGTTACTTGTGTGCCACTGAGAATTTCTGTATACTAGCGAGACTTGAAAGGACTGTACTTAACCCCTTCACAGCAGGATTATTTTGACCGTGACTGCTGGGCTGTGGTATGCCCTGAATGGAGGGCATTGTCCAGCAGCAGGTCCTGTTGAGCCAGCAGCTGCACGGTGAATAGACTGTATGTGTGGTATGCACTAATCCTCACACAGTGGTGCGGTAATAGCAGTCCTCCGTAGCAAAGGGGTTAAGCATCACACATTGCTGTATTTTTTGTTTGCTCTACAGCGATGATGAAGATGATGAAGATGATGATGATGATGACGATGATGAAGAGCCCAACAAGACGGGCGTGGACATGTACACCAGCCACCACCTGTCAGCCTACATGGCTGAGCATGACGTGAGTTTATCTGGTCTCCACCAAGACCACACCCACTTCCCATTATTGTAATCAAGTACTTCATTAGTACTTTTTACTGTCCACAGGTACCTTCACAGATTTACAGTAGTACTTTACACTTTTCACAAGCTCTTTCACAGGTACAACCACTGCTAATAGCGAGTGGTCCTTGTTTCTGCCCTGATTGCGTCAACCTTTTAGTTGTTGAGTATTAAAGAAGTACTTTACTCAGAGACTGCCACTGCCGATTGTTGCCCCCACCTGTTGAAAATCAGAGAAGTTTTGGTGATAATGAAGGAACTCCCCACATTGTTATTACTTACAAGCCTGCAGTTTGGGTTCAAAACTTGAAAGATGTCCCATCTCTGGCCATGTCACTTTAGTTAAAGAAGAGCGTGGCAGTCACCCGCCTGAAGGAGGCCTGGGAGAAGTTGAAGAAGAGCGAGAAGACACCCTGGATGCAGAAGGCAGCTGAGAGCAACAGACAGGCCAAGGTACAGGGAATGCACTTAGACAGATAGTTGGGATGACCGATTAACTGCAGTGCTGGCAGTGTACAGTTCATTGTGTTTCCCAGGATTGTTGAGAACAGTAAAATTAAAGAGAACTGAAATTTTGATGCATATTTACTGTGCCCTAAGTACCAAACCTTCCAAAATGCGGGAGAATTCCTAAAACAAAGTGGAACTTTGCAGAGTGAGTAAGTTTAAGAATTCTTGGGACATCTCTGAATGTTGACCAGCAGTCACCTACCGTAGCAACTACATGTACATCCACTTTTGTGTTCCAAACTCTCTCAAACTAGCATGAGTTTTCTGTGCAGCAGAGGCTGCTGCATGATGAAGTCTGCTTAAAGTACGCTTGATGATGTTGGGGAAAGTCTGCATATAATAAGATCATGCAAAGCAAAATACCTTCTGGAAAAAGACACTGAGCTTTTTTTTAATTTCCCAGAGGAAGTACCTGGACAGACAGCTCCTGAAGGGCGAACCAGACAAGCCCCTCAAGTAAGTTGTCAGTCTTTTGGAGTTAGGAACAAACATGTAGAAGAGAAAGGCAAACAGGAATTGGGAGGATAAAATGCCAAGAAGGTGCAAACAAAGTACTTGACACATATTAACAAGCACGACTCACTGCACAGTGCACCATCCGGAGGTCATTTTGTGCAGTGCATTGTGGGATAATGTTGACATCTCTCCGCCAGGTTGTGTTCCTTCTGCTCAAGGACATGTCAGTCTTCACTTTTTGAACTGCATGTAATTGAAGTTGGAAAGATTATGATGTAAGAAATGGAAAAAGTCAACTGAGTTAAAAGAGGTATCTTCAGGCAAACACCTAGTGATGTACTGTGTTAATGGGAGTCACCGCTATTGTGTACAGATTTGACAAGATGGGCCTTTGGAAAAGAGCTCTGAAACAAGATCCAAGTACTGTACAAACAATTCCACAATTTCATTACAGAGAAAAAAACATCGTCCGGAGCACCTGAAGTCAACATATTCCTATTGTTTGTTTCTTAATTGATTTGCGACTTTACAGTAGTGGCTATCGAATCTTTACGGCCGAGCACATGCGCACAGAGGACATCAAAGCCCTTCCCAGCACGGAGCGCATTAAGGCAGTGGCCAGCAAGTGGCGCGACCTGTCGGCCTATGGCAAGAAGCGCTACGAGGCAAAGAAGGAGAAGCTGATGAAAGACTACAAGAAGGAGATTGACAAGTACAGAAAGGTGAGTCCCAAAGTGCACTAGTGTGTTGAACCTCAATCAAGGAGTTGCAGGGAGCACCTCCATAGGGGGCATTTTTGTTATTTAAATTTAACAAGTGCAGAGGGTCTACTCAAGCACGTCACCTAGGAACAAAAATCTGTCCTGAATGAGGGCACGCTGTGCAAGTACCCAAGGGGAGATTTGTGATATCGGTCAGCCATCAGCAGAGGGCTGAAATCTATCACTAGAGAGTCCAAATACCAACGTGAGTGCCAACTGCATTGTGGGGAAAAGTTGACTGCAACCAACTCTGTTACATAACGGTCTTGCGTGGCTCTAAATTATTGTTCCCCTGACACTCTTTCACAACCAAATCTTTCACAACTCCCTATCCATTCTTCCCCCACACTGAATGCTGAGATTGTTCAAAAATTTCTTCAGTTCTGTCCACTCAAACTGACCATTGATCAACTTTAAGGCACTTTAAAGTAGCAATGAAAGCATTGTCTGGTTACCAATATTGACCTACAAGTCAGAAGTACATCCTTCTGGGGGGCACATGCTACTGTAATTTGTTCCCATGTCTGAATCTGCATATTGTATATTGCAGTGACTTGTTGCAAAGCTAGATGGCAATGTACAAATGTCTTACTCTGTCTGCAAAGGAAAGTTCAAATGACAACCATTTATTGACCACCGGTAAATTTTCCCTGGTAATCTATGCACAGAATATATCGTGATACCAGGCAAAATAAACGGATGGCCATCACTCAAACTTTTAAAAAGGTTAAGATCTGAATCTGTTACATATCTCCTTTGTCACCAACATGGTAATACTCACCCGTCTGTTGTCTTTCCTTTTCACAAACTCCAGAGTCTCAGCAAAGAGGACAGGGACAGGTACGACGAGTTGAAGAAGGCGGGGCTTAGCAAGTATTCGAGGGAAGTGACCAGGAAGAAGCTCCCAGTGAAGAGAAAGGTACATTATGCTCTGTTCATGCCTTAGTTCTAAAACTCCTGCTAGGTTTTCTCATAACAGAACACAAGCTTTTTGAGTTCAAAATGTTATTAGCTTCAAAGTTGCAGCTAAGTTGCTATCAATCAACAGTCTTTGTTAAAACAAGAAGTTTGAGAGGACCTTTAGTCTTTTGATGTTTCTTCTGTCTGTAGAAGAAGGCTGCTGCCTCAGATGAAGAAGAGGAAGAAGAGAGTGAAGAGGAAGACTCGGATGAGGAGTCTGAGGACGACTCGTCTTCAGCGTCCTCGGGGTCTGGCTCTGAGGCCAACTCCAGCGATGCAGCCTCCGGCTCGGATGAGGACGAGGAAGAAGAGGAAGAAGAGGAGGAGGAGGACGGGGAGGAGGCATCCAGCTCTGGGTCCTCAGATTCATCCTCAGCAACCTCGGGCTCCTCGTCCTCGGAAGAGGAAGAGGAGGAAGAAGAGGAGGAGGAGGCCACCAAGGCTAAGGGGACCAAGGGCAAAGGTCAGGCAAAGGGTAAAGAAAAGGTAACTGTCAAGGAGGAGCCCAAGGAGAATGGTGAGAAGGAGGACAGCGGAAGCTCCTCAGAGTCAGAGAGCTCATCGAGTGAGGCCTCATCAGAGGAGGAATCTGATTAAACTCCAATCTCCTCTCGTGTTATTTTTTTCTATCACCTCCCTCGAGCCCTGTCGAGGGAGGCATACTTGTGAAGCTGGAGTGTTGCTATTGCAAGTAAATCACAGGTCCTTGGACAAAAGTACATGTAGTTGCAACTGTGAGAGACTATGAATGGTAACTTTTGTCACTGTTCACTTGAATGACTTGACTTAGGACTAGATGACTTGTGAGGACCTATGAGGGACTTGACCAAAACTCTGAAAAACAATAGTATTTGTACATTTCACTCTCAACTGGTTAACTCTAATTTTTGTTGGTACTCAAACCGCTAGTTACATGTATCTAGTCATGAATATGCAAAAAAAACCTCACCTGAAAGTTGAATTCTAGAAAGAGGGCAGCAATCACATAACTTGTTCACCACGTGGACAATTAACGAGCCACACATATGGCATTTTCAACAATAAAGAGGCTTGTCCTGCCATGCAGTGCGACCAATATCAGAGATCTTGATGATGGTTCAAGGAAACCAGACCAACATACTGTTAGGCTCCCTGAGTTTTTTGCTTTTAGGGAATAATAGCAAATCTGTCCCTGTACAGGTAAACGTTCAGTGTATAAAAACGTGTATTTCCCCCTAAAAACTAATTTAATACAGAAGTTACAATTCTTTCAGGAGAATTTATTGACGGAAGTTGCCCTGTGTCGCAGATAATTTCAATATTACTGATGGCTTTTCTGTTCCAAGTTTAACCTTTCTTTCGCATTTTGATGCTGACCGCACAACAAAAAGCACAATCTGAATGCTCACAGTGGCGCAAAGTTTTTGACCCTATATGGTTGAACATGCACACATTGACTTGACCAATTTTTGCATTTGTATTTTTCACTTGTAAAACTGGGCACTCATTAACAGGTGTTGGTTACTTTCTTGCATGCTAATATGATCATTACTTTTTGTGATTTGTTTATTGGTATCGAATGTGAATAAACTGAATTTTTTTAACGATGTTTAGAAACTACAGAGGTAAAATGGTACTTTTTAAAAAACCAAAATGGGCATCACATAACTATAGAAATTGAAATGATGCAGGATTAAGGTACTTATTTATCCATTTTATTATGATACACTTGAATCACATAAAATTCTTTCCTCATTTAAACATGTAACTGTACAGTGCGTAAAAGTACAGAAATTTACACTTAATTTACATTTTTTATCTTGTCTGCAAAACTTCACAGCGCAATAGACTTGGATGAAATATGAGGACAGTTTATATAAACACTTTTCTTTGTCAGACAATGGGCAAGTTGCCTCTGTGGCATTTATTAATTGACAGATTTTTGCAGGAAATTCACCAACAAAGTCGAAGGGAAACACAGTTTCTTAAATGCCCAAGTGGTTGATTTCCATAATATCCCTCTTGGTTGACTTTTTGCTGAAAGAGGAAGTGATTGCTTAAAACAAATATTTTAAGTTCAAAGTTGGGATGGTTGAAAGTTCTTTTCCCTGGGAACGCTTTGAATGTAAACCCAGGGGTGTCAGATGTTAATATTTTAACTACAAAAATATACTTTTCCCCCTCTTTGTTGTGAAATGTTGCCAGTGGTTTTAAAGTTTTAAAAGTATATGGAAAACTTGTTTTTGGTTTGTCTGAGCTGAGTCTGGTTGATGTTCCATGTTTCATGTCAGGAAGTTGCCAAAAAATTAGGAAGGTTCATTGTTTTTTTAATGTTCTGTGTTGTCTGAAGACCAAAACTGTTCATGTTTCGGTGATTTTATTGTACTTTTGACTGAACAAAAGGAAAAGTGTTGTATTAAATAAAAACAGAAGGCTTAGGACATTTTAAAGTCCACATTTACATTGCTGGCCTGTTTGAGTTTTTCCTTCTCAGGTTTTCTTCAACTCAATTGAATTAAGTCCTGATAGTAAGTCCAGCTTTCAAGCATGGCTGCAAAATACGATTTTTATGAAAATTCAAGACTGTTCAGGATTTTAGGCGAGGTTCTGCCTCAAGTTTAGCTTACCAAAAACAATGTATACATTGAACCTGCATCAGATAAGAAATTAGTCCCGACACAAACTGCAACACTAAAAACAATCACTCATTTTGTGGGATTACGCAGCATGTGTTCCCTGGTATTTGTTCATTAATTCCCCCATGTAAACTAATGAGCAGCATATGCTCACCAGCTAAAATATGACTGCCCTCCACTTCCTTGCTGCTCAACTGGACAGTGCCCTCAGCAGTGTGGGCACAGACTCCATTACAGAACCAATGTGACTAGAGTCACTACAGTTGAAAGACACCGATTACACACAACATTCACACACATAGATCCCATCCATAACCCTCTGACCAGTGACAGGAGTTCTCAAAGTCACATGACCTTTGCTGGCTTACATGACTGCTGATGAGCCTCGTGACTGCCAACAAATGACACATCCAGCTGTGGCAGGATGTTGTCAGTGCAAGTTGTCCACGGTGAGACTGACTGTTAACATGACAATCGTCAGTTCATGAGGGCTTTCGTCTTGGCACCTTGTCGTAAACTTGCAAACAATTTGTTGACTCGGAGAAGTTGTCCCATCTCTGCCCAGGAATTTAAAAGCATGACAAATCAATACTAATAATGAATCATGTTTCCTGAAACAGCAAATTTCAGAGGTAAAAAAAATTACCCAAAAAATAAATAAATCTCAACACGTCCAACATGTGCATCTCTTTTTTCATCACATGCGATATAAATATGATATGAAAACAAGGTAAATGCACTACGCCCTTTGCATTTACCTGTGGGTCATACAAATTAACCGTAACCTGGTGACTATGTCATTTTCCCACTCAGGATATCAGTTCTGACACCAAATTACAAGTTAGTAAAGTTACAACACCTGTTCTCAATAACCTACAACTCTATGATATCATACACCATATTAGCTAGTTTACTTTTCGGTCATCGTTTACACCCCCCTGGGGGGTGTATATATACTATAGTTTCATATAAATAAAACATATAACCCACTGCAAAAGAATGGAAATCACTGTCCTATCCTGTCCTGATGTATAAAAACCTTAGATGGTGGTGGTTTTTTCTGTATTAGGTTTTACATAAAAGCATTTTACCTTGTAAGAAATTATTGATGTTGGTGTCCCGCTCTGATTTCTTGGCCTCAAAGATGATGACCAGACTCATCTTGATGTCCACCCTACTGATGTAGTAGGTTATCTGTTGAGTCTGGGGACAAGACATGAAAACCTCAAAATCGAACTTGTTTTCAAATTAGAAACAGTTTCTTGACAACTTCTGTAGTGATGGGAATGGACTGAATCATACACTCGTAACCCTCAACTTGCTCGGCATCCTTCGGTTGGTGGATAAGTGGGGCGCCACCGCACAGCAGTGGGTTGTTCCCGAAACTTGCCGCCGCCGCGTGGATGTGCCTTGTAATCCACCAACTCAGGTATGCAGTTTTAACTAGTTACCGATGCTTAACTAACCTTATATATTACTTGTTTGATCTCGCATGAATTTAAAGTTAGAACATAAAGAAATAGAGGTGCTGACATTCATTAAAAGGGATTAATCTAAGGGAGAAAAAGTGCAGGGATTTCACAAACATAGCGCCTTCATTAATCGCTGTACACAACCATGATGGATGTAGCTTGTACGATGTACTCTGGGTAATGCCGAGCGTAGGCAAGCCTTTTCCCGTGTTCATACATGGATTAATCATGTTTGATAAATATATGGAAGCATAGTAAGCTTTAGTGCATGTGCTTTACAGGTATTTTATCAGAAATTCAGTTTGTTCTCTGTTGAAGAAAAACTCATTATGAGATTGGCACAGTAATACAGTAGAACGATCTTGAAGAGCGCCCCTTTATGTCAACACATTTTGCTTTCATTTTGGCCAGCACAGAGTGAGGGTTAAAAGTGTTTTTTAATTCAACAGAAATTTGTGTAATGTGTGGAAGTACACAGAGGTTTAGTGGATTTTCTGTAGTGGATTTTTTTATATTTTGTAACTGGAATTGTATGAAGACTTTACTGCAATTCAGTCTCAACACACATGTATTTCTCATGGCAAAGCTACAATGTGCACAATGAATGTATGGGTTATTCCGTTCTGTTGGACAGACTTTTCTGAATGGCCTTTCTAGGGATCAAACTAGCATATCATTTTAGTGTGCTCTCTCAGTTTATAATGACATTGAGAGACAGACATTTGCATTGTCACATGTACAGGATACTTATTTAATGAGTACATTTTCTTTTCTCCTTTAATGTGGTTCCAGAAACTTGCCGCTACCGCGTGGATGTGCCTCATAATCCGCCAACTCAAAACCCAGTGAGCAAGAGAATAAACCCAGAGCACCAAACACACCGTCTTTGGAACTTTATTCTGTCAACTGGTCACCACCCACCCTGTCATAACAGTACTACGGTCGGACACCCCCCCTCTCTAGCTGTGTCCCATCCAGCTCTCGCTCCTCCTTTCCCGCCCCCACACTTTCTTTACGGGTGTCAGTGTTTTTCTGAGAAAAGTATGATCTTGTCACGTATTGAGTACAATTTTTTATGATCAATCCAAAAATTGCACAGGAATGTCTCTTTTTATTTGTAAAGGCAACGGAAAAGTAGTGGATAGATTTTATTATTCGTGCTCCAATGTGATTGAAGCAAACTACCTTGCTTAGGAACTTCAGCTATATCAACCAGCTGTGTTCACATCAGTGACAAGTTTTACTTGTTGCTAATGGTTTGGAGTGGTGATCGATTAAAAATGTTACTAGCTCAGTTGCAGGACCCCCCAAGTTGGAGTTGAGTCAATCGCAAGTCATATCCGAACTTAAAGAGATGGAAAAGGAATGCCTTTTTCACAGTTTAGCTCTGGACTGAATGACTGGTGACTGTTTTGTGGTGACTTGTGACTGACTCAATTATGATTCTGCGGGGCCCAAAAACCTATCCTCAAAAATGACCCAAAGACGGAATCCCAGCAACAATTTTCTCTATTCTACCTTGTCATAAAAATGGACGACTCTGTCAATCGGCCCACTCTCTGCACTCGGCAACAACATGATCAAATTTGGCCACAGATGGACTGGTCGCTCCTACAAAACATCACCATATAAAAACTGGCTTACTTTAAACATACTCTTGCTGTCCTTTCACCCAATGTACCCCCCTCCCCACATAACCACCCACCCAAGTGTGTAAGTGCCTTCAATCGCGGACTCCCTATTGTTCCTCTTTTGTTAATATTTCACTTTTTCGGAAGACCTCCCATATGTTTTGTACACGTTTTCCAACAGCGGACTCTTTAACAACAGTGGACCCTATTGTCCCCTATTGTTATAGGTCCACGATTGAAGGCATTTACACACTCCCCTCCACACACACACAATTTCCAAACCCATCAACTAAATTTCCAAACAGTACAATCCTACTTAATTAAAGCAAATTAGTGAGATCCATTATGTTAAATTGTTAAGAATGTACAAGCTTTTAGCGTTCATTCCCTCTTTTCTTATGCAGAAAAATCCCACGAGTGATGTTCTGCTTTTCTGGAAGCCCACCTGCTATTAGTCAACCTTAATTATTCTCATCCCAACCATTGGTCATGGAACCGGGGAGGGGTATTGCCCGCACCCACCTTTGAAAAGGTAATTATTTTGCCTGTCCTCCATTTCATAGGCCTACAGCCGTTGGAGGTGTATTGAAACTTCTCCTCCCCCCAAAAAAACCCCAACAACCAGGATCCCCCCCTTTTGGGGGCTCCACCCCCCCACTTTTAAAACCGTTCCACTACCACAAATTCACTTGTCCACTCAACGCACATGCCTTTGATCTACACATCTAATGGAGCCACTCAGACTTACATTTGGGAATGAGAAAATGGCTGGATAAGAGTCTAGCCCCTTAGGAGGCTCGCAGAATGAATTGGGATGGTGGTAACCGTGACCTTTGTAGGTGTCCTCTGACCCCCGAGTGTCAAAGACCAGGGAGATGTTGAGGGCGTCGGATTTCTTTTGAAACAGGGCAATTCTGAAAGGTCGAGAGTGTGAAAAATGTGAAACATAACAACTGTTTGCTGACTACAGTGACTTGAAACTGACAAATTTTAAAATGTTGGAACTTTTAGAATTAAATTTTTTTTAATAGCAGAAATGGTCATATTGCCTTTGAGAAAAGTTCTGCTGTGATAAAAACGTCAGGCCTTCTAATCTGTGAGGTTAAAAATTTGGAAGGAAAGAAGCAAGTCAGAAACTAATCTCAATTAGAAAGATCTGCATCGTGCAGTGCTCTTGCAACTACAGACACAAATTTGATTCAAAAAGAATTTGGAAGAAGTGGAGACGTACGTCAGGAACAAATCTGGCTTACACACATACACATTTTGAAGAGTTCTTGCAACTACAAACACACAGGAGAATTTAAAAAAAATAATCAGGTTTCATGCTTTGTGTTACAGTCTGAATATACTTCTGGTATAAGTGGTTCATGGAGGAAAAAAGTTCTGTTTCATGAAAAGCAACAGAGTAATTTTCTATCAGCTATGATAAATGGAAACTCACTTTGTGTAGTAATCGATGGAGAGATTTGACAAGTGTGTTTTCATGTCTCCAGGTAGCGCTTGTTTGGCCAGCATTTCATGAAAATACAGACTGAACTGTTACCAAACAGAAAGAAAATTATTCACTTGATGCAAACTACATTTGATAATTAGGAGTATTTTATATTTTTTTAAACTTTAGAGGTTTTGCAATTCAATACAAAGAAAGTCGCAGAATGTACAGAAAAAATCTGATTCATTTAAACCGCCAACGATATAACAATGCCCTTAAACAATCAAATGGCAGGCCACGAACCCCACTTAATACAACTCGTGAAATAGCTAAATTTTCCTTGAGATGAAATGGCTTAATATGCTTCTATTCTGCCCTGGATGGAATGTCAGTTCATACGTTACACTCCAGCTAACGGAGGTAGGTTATATACTCCAGCTACAAATCCATGTAGAATCCTGGGTGGAGAGAGGCAAGCTCAGGAAAGTGTCTTGCTCAAGGACACATGGCCAGTGACTGGATTCCAAGCCCTGACCCTCTAGTTACATATTCTAACCACTAGACCATATTCAACCATCAGTAGGGTCAGAATTGAAATTCAGCATTTCTGTTCAAGACAAAACAACACCACCTGCACAATGCAAGGCCGAACTTGGCCTTGATATGTACCTTAGACAGCTGTGCTGCTTGAAAACGCACATACCACACCATCAGTGGTGGAATACCAGTGACCTTCCCCGGTGCCATTGTCTGTAACTTCTTCTTTGCCTGTTATAAACACAAACAAATTGTGTTGAGCTAGGACCAATTTCTTCTGAACTAATTCACTTTCTCTACCGTGGCCTTTACTGGCTCTTGCAAATGGAGCAGACTCAAGTTCATTGCAAAGACGTAATACAAATATGTCCAAAGTGTTGTTAATTGGCAATTAATTGGATGGGCCACAATTTGTAGAACAATCATGTCGAGATTTTGAGGGTTTTCGTTACACAGGAATTGATAGTAATGAAATTTTAATATTGTTGAGATTATCTCTGCTGTCAAATTTCCAAATGAGGAGTTTATTTCAAATTTGAATTAATGTGGCTGACTCATGAACAAGGTCTATCTTCCACTGAGAGGTAACTGGCTGAGTGATTTCAGAATATCTCACGACTTGGGTCAGGAAAATGCCCCATTTTGACCTTTGGTACCAACTACAACAACCCTGTGCGAATTTCAGTGCTCCATCCCACCTCTCGGAGTTTGATGGATGCACCCCACTCATCCAGTTTGCACTGCGACTCGTTCAAGCTAAGCAGAGCAGGGAGGAAACTGAACTGGGCCAGGTGCTCCAGGGCCATGAAGACGGCGTGGAGGGCTTCCAGCTCCAGCGAGAGGTTGGAGCGGATGGAGCTCAGGATAGGGTGGTGGAACTGCTTGGCATGTCTGAAGGGGCAAGCAGGGGGTCAGACAGGTTAGGTGAGTGCAGACTGAGGGACTACACAGATGGCAAGATAGAAGGACGAACAGACAGATGGCAAGTTGGACCAACAGGCAGACAGCAAACAAGGTCAGGTCGAAGTAAGTTTGGATCTAAGTTTGGATCCGACAGACAGACAGCAAAGGGTGTTCATTTGAGATCACTTTGGAAAGCTGCTTGACTTGTCTCAAGCAGTTAAACAGCTTTGGAATGAATTTGCTGAGGAGTAGATAGACAGCATGAAGGACAGAGTTACTGACAGGAGAAAGGTGGGATGGAAAACACATGGATGTGCTGAAATGGGTAAAAAAAGTCAAGTCTGACTTTTGAATCACAGATTTGGTGGGAAGATAATCAGCACGACAAACAAGTAAACTAACCTTGAAATGACATTTCCCACGGCTACCGTAAGATCAGAAATATTGATGTCGGCCTTCTGTGATCCCAAATAACAGAGTTTCTCGTACCTGTGACAACTAATTAAGGAATTTACTTATAAATTCATGCTTACCAACCTGTCACTGCATACAATGAAAATCCTGGTGTGTCAATAAATGGACCATGGTGCTGTGAACCCAGAACCACACAACTGTGCATCAGATGCACTCTCATGAATGAGCTGCCATACATACAATCAATGGAGTGGATTAAGGCTTTCAGGGTTTTAAGACAATTAAGCAAGTGAAGAAAGATGCATGTACATGTATAGGTTTATCATTAACTGTATAAATGGGCCCAAGTTATGCCACTGACATGAACCCAGGACTTGTGAAAAGGAAGTCAGGTGCTCTACCGGTGATGGATTACTGTTTGAAATGTTGCAGCTTTCGTGGATAAAAAACAAAATGGATACAATTCCATCATTTCTTGGCGTGCTTCAATGAAGTGGACCAGCTGCTCACAGAGGTGTGACAGAAGGCGGTCCTCGGGATTTGAACCCTGGTGGCCCATCTCTTTGCCCCGTAGTTCCACGCGGCGGACGTCACTCATCGCTGAGGAGAACAGCCACTTGCCCGATTGCTGTTTGGAAAATGGCAAAAGGAAAAGTAATGGACAAATGATGTGTCACTATAACATTGTAGCTATTGGCTGTCTGACCCATCTGTCGCAGGTCTGCAATAACATAGTCAAGGTAAACTAAAAGGGGACCACACAAGGCACTTTTTCAATAAGCAATTAATATACCTTGGTGCACCATCTAATGACATCGGGCTTTTCATGTGATGTTAATTTGGCAATTTACTTATAAAAGTGTAGCTTGTTTCTGAAATTGCAAAAGCCTTAAAAAGTTGTCTGAAAAAAATTATGCTGAAATGAAACTAGGGTATATTGTTATATTATACTCAGACTTACTAATGACTGGAAACTGACAACTGATTCATGTGAATTTGCCACAGTCATATTTTTCTTTATTCAACTAAATGTGCCGGTTACCAAAATTTGGCAAAGCCAGACACGGAATCAAATTTTTGTGGGTGCACCAGAACCAACTTAGCGGGTGCACCAGACCCAGACCTAAGTTAAAACAACAATTGAAGTGGGGTATCCCTTACTAGTTTCTGTGGGTGCACCTGACCCAGGCCTGAATACTGGAGCAAATGTCCTAAACCAGCTAAAATCAGCAGGTGCACGAGACCCAGACCCAAGATAAACCAGATTACATTAAATGCAAAAGGGGGAAGGAAGTACACGTACATAAAGTTTACAAGTCGGAATGCAGGTGTGTTTCCACCAATGTTAAATATTTGGTCGGGAGTTACAATATAAAGCACGTTATTTTAGATGCCAAAGGTATCAAGGAAGTAAATTTATGTATATATAAAGTCTATAAGATGGAGTGCAGGTGTGTTCCCACCAATGTTGAACATTTGGTCGGGAGCATAGCTTATAATAGCTTAGAGGCATTTCAAACTGCGGTGTGTTTCTTAAAACATTTCCCTTGAGTCACCCAAAGTTGTGATGTGGATAAATCCATTGGAACTAAAGTATGGAAAAGATCACAGTGCCTCATGGAAACCTTGTGGCTACTTACCCGCCCAAACCACTTCTGCTCAAAGAAAGCCAGGTGCATGTAGGTTTTCTCGGCCGATGCTAGGACAGACAAGGCACTGACCAAGCCTGCCCAGAGACTGGTGGGATGGGAGCGGATTGCCTCCTTCTCCTGGTCCTAAACAAGGGAAAAAAGAAAGCATTGACCAATCAACTTCAATTTGACCTTGAACAGCTTGCTGGCACACAAGCAATTATATGGTCCAATTTTGGGGTGGGGCTATTTATTTTAGTACTGTAAGCGTATGTTCCATTACTTCCCTCGTGCTTACTCGGGAAAGCACATCTGTGTTCGATTTGACACTCAACTGACTTTTCATGCTTATTCAGGCCTGACCTAAGTAACCGGCCTGCTGAGCTGGTTACTGAGGTAAGTATCCCATAATGCAGTGAAAAAAACATGGTGGCTTTCTAATAGTTGAACGATACGAAGGGAAGTTGCTGTTGTAACCTTATTTAGAAAAATCTCTGCAGGAAGACGTTAATTTGCTCATAGTCAAGTGAGTTGTGCAAAATTATGGCCAGATATATGTCCTTTTATTCCCCCTTACTTTCGGTAGCTCAAATCTGTGCGGAAAATTTTAATCTTCTTGGGCACCTTGGGTAACTAAAGATTATTCGTTTACTCTCATGTATTTCGCATGTGCAACTTTCTCACGAGTAAACGTGGGTGACTTATCAAGTACGCTCTTCATTTGCATTAGAATGAACAACCTCAGCTCTTTGTTTTCATGCCTGAAATATTCATATAGTATTTCAGTGTGCCATTCTGATGAAAATGGGCATCATGTGGATGAAAAATGTGGAGGACTCCTCTTGATTTGCCTTATAAATATAAAATTCCTTCCAGAGGTACACAAGTGGATCTGGTAACTTAATCTCATTTGGTCCTGTCACAGTTTTTCTTGACCATTTTGGAGCAATGATGTGAATTGCTTACTGCAATCCTTACCACCAGTTCTTTAGATCTGTCGAATGCAAAGTGGCTGATGGCAGTGAAGTACATCTCCAGGAACTGTTGCTCCTGGGGCAGAATGTGGTGAGGGCCTCCAGTGGAAGCGGAGAGAGATGAAGAGGTCGCAAAGGATTCCTCCATCTCACCTGTGTTGATGGATCTGACGTCCATGGAGGTCTTGTGTCTGTTGCAGAGTTCAAAACTTATTGAGGCTCAGGAAAGAATATGTATCAACAAGTCTTAAAAATGACCCACATTCCGTACCTACCCTTAGAACGTTGGGGCCACTTGCACTAACAAGAATTGATGCAATAAGCCCTATAGTTTTAGGGGTAACCTACCTTTTTTCAGACAAATTAAGTTTTCCTCTGTTGATTGGACTAGTCCTCAATGAAAATAGATGTACAAGACAAGGTGGAAATTATTGTTTGGCAGCAAGTGTACCGTGGCTGAATATAGAATTCTTGCTGCTTTGGCTGTCCAGAATTTGGGTCTACAAAATATTGATAGAAATGACAACTTTATTGCCTACAATTTCTATAACAAGTAGTAGGAGCCTACTGAAAGTACGAGGCCCAGCACTACTGATACTATAATTTGTACAAAGTAGCAGGCCCAAGGTACAACTGCCATTCATGCCATTATGTCAACACCTAGCCCAGGTTGGACAGCATCTTCCTTAACTTGCAATGAACATCATGGGTCTCAGTTCATCCTGCCGTGTGAAATTTTTACGACCTTTTTTTCACACTGGTACACGTACCTGATAGAGGTACCTGATCTCTGGAATTAAGCCAAATGCTAGGTTGAGAAAAAATAAATGTGTACCCCTAGAACTCTGGGCTTCATCATCTGCCATGCACCCAGGCAGTGGATGAAAAACCCCAGCGTTCTAGGGGTAACCTAGTAATTATGTCCTTGGGTGACGTGTTTGTAGAAAATATATCACAATTACACGCTTCCATCAAGAATATCCTGCACATCTGTCCAATAAAGTGTGAACAAAATGTCAAAAACTTTCTGCCGTGGTGATCTTTGTGCGATTACTCAATTGTACTCCTTCCTTTATTCCTTCCATTCCTTCCTTCATGGTTGTACATACATGTACGTTGTGGAGGATCATTTCAAAAGGGAAAATAGGCCTTTTGTTGGAAATTTCATACAGGATTGACCAATCGTGTAAGCAACTGGGTGACGTAGCACCACAAGTGTAGCCTGGAGACTTGCCTTGCCAAGTATATAGTAAGGCAAGTCACATCACCAGGCCAAATTAATCATGCTTGTGGGACTAGTGATTGTGTAATGAATGATGTCACTGTCTGGTCATGGGGGTAAATTGAGGGGGGTGGCGTCCAGGCCTGTAATGCCTCACTTTTTTGGGGGTCTAATGAATCATCCCCCCACTTTTATGGTGAAAAAAAAATAATTAAGACGGATTGTAAAATGTTTGGAAAGAGTTCCATGTATGGACAACACTAATTTCCTTAATGTTATCAGCCATCAGAAAGTGATAAAATCCTCAAAAGTGAAATTTAGCAGAGAAAATTGCGAAGCATTTACTTGGAAAACACTTTCGGCCAAGTCTCATAGGTTTGTGCAGAGGAGTATCAACTGTTGTCTGTATACATTGTATATGCATGGGCATGGAGGTAGGAAAAGTGGGGAAAGAGTTCCATACACGAACAACACTAATTTTCCTTTAAATTGTTACAACTGCCGGGAAGTGATTTTAGCTAAGAAAATTCTGAAGCATTTATTTAGAAACCACCTAGATTTTTCAGACAAGTCTCATAGGTTTGTGCACAGCGTCTCAAGTGTTGTCTGTATATTGTCAATAAAGAGGGAACTTTTTTCCAAGGACTTTTTGGACCGTACCATCCAGGAACCAAATTGTATTCAATTGGCTCCCTCGCTCTCCAAAAGGGAGAACAATTGAAAAAGTAAAAAAAGATCATAAATGTGTCGTTTTGATGTAAAATTCTGCATTTCTGCAGGAATGTAATACATAAATGGCAAGAGGCAGTACAGATGAGCTATGTAG